AAGACATGCAACGATCAAAACCACTTGAGCCACTTGTTCCTCTCTAATTGATCTTTCACTTTTCCATTGTCAATCTATACATAAATAACATGAGATGAGACAAAACTTAAACATATACTTTTAAATTTGTACTAATCAAATTTTAGCATAATTTGGGAACATGTATACTCACCTACGATTTTGATAGTTTATCCTTTGCTACATGTCTACTCCAATTATCGGAAGAAAACTATACAAAAAATAGTGTCATTTTCAAAAGTCAAGAGACAAAGAAAAGCCTTTTGTTTCTATATAAGAAGCCAAGTTTAACAATAAAACAATTAATAAGAAATTGTTAGAGAGGCTTTAACAATGATAAAGAGACAAGAGACAAAGAAAAACCTTAACACTATGATAAACACAATTTTGGGTTTAAAGAGGCTTTAACAATGTAAAATAGGAGGACTATATGCAATTATGTGCTACCTTAACACTATGATAAACACAATTTTGGGCCTAAAAAGGCTTTAACAATGTAAAATAGGAGGACTATATATAATTGTGTGGTAATGTAGAATGGTAATTTTTTTTTAATTTAAGTCTTGTCACAAATACTATGTCAAACAATGACGGTTATCTAGTGAGAATACCTATATGAGAACATTACATGAGAACACCGTTGGATCTAATCTAACGGCTGCATGAAAAGCAATTGTAAGTGTAAGTGTTGTATTAGAACGAGACATTCTTCTTTCTCATCCCTCCAAAACATCCAATCGAAAACAGACGTCCCCACCAATCCAGCTGTTCAGTTTGTTCAATTAGGAGACAAATTTTTTATCAGCTTTGATTGAGGAAGAGCAATAACACTGAAGAGAGAGCACCCATGTTATTCCTTATTCGATTTGAGGAAGAACACAGAAGTATAGCCCTCATTTTTCTAGGTTTCTGATTCAGGAGAAACAAAGTGTTTGTTTATTTTATATTATCATCTTTGTGGTTCGGTCTTTTTGGGTTGAACATTCGTCAATCCTTGAGCAACGTCGAAACTGGTGAGTGCGACCATTGTGGTTTTGTTTTCTTTGTTTTGAAATCCTTGAGCACGGTCGAAACAAGGATTGAGGAAGATGAAAAGTGTTTCAGGTTGACGTCCAAATCTAAAACGGCAACATTATCACAGAAATTTTGAAGTTGGAAATGACTTACGAGGTAAGTGATATATTATATTTGTCAATTTTAGTGTTGGGCATAAGCATGAGTTACGTTAGTTTGTATGTAGGTTTTAATATTTCACCCGAGAATCATTTTCATATCATATGTTAGTTAATATATATTTTAAAGATCTTTGAAAGCATGTGTCAATGTTGGTATGATGGTGGTGAATTTATGGTTAAATTGCAAGAATTGTGAAATGGAGTGTGAAGGACAAGTGACACCGGAAGTAAGTTCGGAGTTGAAACCAAAATTGGAACTTGAATTCAATTGTTGTGACGATGTGTTCAATTTCTATAATAGTTATGCTGCGAAATCTGGATTCGGCATTTGGTGTTCTACAATGAGAACGTGCACATTGATAGGAGAGGTAACAATGAAGGAATATGTATGTTGTAAACAGGGGTATTTGTTGACAAGCACTGTTAGTCGTAAGAGAAAATGGTGAGGTTGTACTCGAATTGGTTGCAAGGGTAAACTTGCGATTTTGAAGGTAAAAGACAAGAGTAAGTACATTGTTGTAGGATTCAATGAGGTACACAACCATGACATGACCACAGTTGATAAAGTCCATATATTGAGATCTCACCGTAACTTAACAGAGTCTACAAAGGTCTATAGTACATATATGAGCAAAGTTAATATCCCTGTACATAAACAGGTAAGCCTTCTTGAGGTGCAAGTAGGAGATTGGAAAATGTTGGGTTTGTTAAGAGAGATGTTTATAATTATGTGAGGGATGTGCGTGGAGAGGTGATTGGGCATGATGTAAAGCTGCTTAAGGAGCATTTTTTGGTTGAGTAAGAAAAGAATGAATCCTTTTATGTCAATATGGAGGTAGATTCGGAAGGAATGACGGGTAATGTTTTATGGTTAGATGCAAGGTCAAGACGAGCTTATAAGTTTTTTAGAGATGTTGTGGTATTTGACACGACGTTCAACACGAACTGATAAAGGATGGTCTTTGTGCCTTTGTTAGGCGTTAATAACCATCAAGAGACAGTGTTGTTTGGTTGTGCATTCCTAACTAGTGAAACCACGGATTCACTTGTATGGTTGTTCGAGGAATTCAAGAAAGTCATGCCAAGTGAGCCACCCAAAATTATCATCACTGATCAAGATGCAGTCATGTCAAAGGCAATTGTTGTAACTCTCCCGACAACATTCCATAGATATTGCATATGGCATATCTTGAATAAGTTTACAGAGAAACCTGGCATTGGAGAATGTTTTTCGGAAATGTGCAAATGCATATGGGCTATGAACACGAAAGAAGAATTTGATGTGAAATGGGAGGAAATCATCACAAACAATGGGCTGAAAAAAACCATCCATGGCTGAGCTCAATTCATGCTATGTGGGAGAATTAAGTTCCATCATATGTAAAACATGTGTTTTAGGTTGGGATGTCAAGTAGTTAACGGGCCTAAAGTTGTCATTCATTTTTCGAACAATATATTAACCAGAAAAACACATTGATGGAATTCATTGTACGTTTTGAAAGAGCTCTTGATTCACAGAGACACAAGGAGTTAATGGCTGATCATGTTGATAACAATGAAAAAGTGATATAGTCTAATCATTGTGAAAAAGTTAGAGACCCTACCTCGTGTCCATGAAGCTAAAATGACGAAACTACCCTTCGAAGGTTGCCGGGTTCTCTCCCGTCCCTAGATTTGAAAAAATAAATAACATAAAAGAAATTAGAAAAATCAAATTTTATAAAAATACTTTTTTCTCTTAACATAGAGAGTGCACCCCACACTCCAAGCTAAACCCCTCAAAACAACCTGAAACCTATACCATCGGACTCGGATCAAAAAATCGAGTTAGATGGACTAAAAATATGGCTTCGAAGGCTGCCGGAACAACCACCATGCGCCGCCACTCTCTGGAGCCGTGAGTGGGCCTGTTTCCGGTTACTGTTCATCGTCTTAAAAAAAATCCCGCAACTCCCTCTGTTTTCCTGATTGAATCCTAGATTTTGTGAGACATTTTGACCAACCAAAAGTTAACGAAAATGGGCAAACTTGTGATGTTTTAAAGCTTGATATCTCTAGTTTCTAACCCAACAAACCACGTTGAAAATGGAGCTAAAACGAAGGAGAAAACTAGCTCCAAAATTGGGCTCGAGGCTAGTTTTCTGTAGAAAACATATTTTTTTCCAAACTTTGCACAGTGTTTGACCTATCAAAACTCAACCAAATTCGACGAAACCATTTTTTTCCTTGCCATGTCTAGGTTAAAACCCAACGATTGACTTCCTCAAACACTCAAAGTATTTGGAGAAAAAGAGAGCCAAAGTAAGGCTCGCGAGTTGCAAATTTCCAGAAAATGACATTTTCCAGATTTGGTTCGAAGTTGTTTCCAACCATTCTAACATCCCCAGATTGTTCCTAAGGCTGCCAAAAACTCTTCTAAACTTCATACCTATCATAGAACTCATCAAAAACCCAAAATGAAACCAAAATCAACAACACCCACACTTGAAAAATTGCTTTATCCACCCAATCCGAAATTAGAAATTCAACCTCTTCCAATTCAATTTTTCCTAACACTCATATGACTGAAATTATTCTTTAAGAGAATAAAATCACACAATCACAAGGTTAAAACCAATTTTTTCGAAATTGACTCACCTTAGAGATATTTTTTCTTCCCTTCCTTCAATTCTCCTCTTCCTCACGCAAATTTCATTTCTCTCATCCCTAAGCTTATCTTAGCTTATACAATTAATATCCTTAACCTAGACTAGGTGACTCACCTCCAATAGATGAACAACTCATCCCAAAATCAGATTTTTGAAGTGAAGGTAAGAGGGAAGGGGGGAAGAATGGAAGGAAGAACAACGGCTTGCTTACACGTTGCCTCTGTTTTTAAAAAATATATATATAAATAAATTTTTTAACTCATAATTAAGATTAAATAATTTTTTTTTCCTAGATGTAAGAGAATCCACAATGGGGGGTGTATGTTAAATATATACCCCGAGTCACCGGAATCACCCGCAATGGGGGGTGTAAATGGATGTACATTTACATCACCACCATGGGGATCTAAAATAAAATGTATATTTACATCTAATTTTACATCCCTTGCAGGCGGGACCCACCCTAGGAAAGATAAGAAAAATGAGTAAAAGTCAGCATAAAAAGCATGGGACCCACGGCTACAGTATTTGCTGGAAAAAGAAATCACATGCGAACCAGTTTTTTGGTTGTTCTGTTCCCCCCCCAACCCCCCTAACGGCTAGTTTTATGAATAATCAGCCCAAGGAGCTTCAGTAGCTTTTCTATTTCATGAAGAATCTGGCCAGGCAGCAGCTTCAGCAGCTTTTATTTCATGAAGAATCTTCAGCAGCTTTTATTTCATGAAGAATCAGGCCAGGCAGTAGTTTCAGCAGCTTTTTTTATTTCATGTCAAGAAGCAGCTTTTTTTTTTCATGAAGAATCAGCAGCTTTAATAGATGCCTTTGATTTTTCAAACACATGCCAAACAGTTTAAGGCAGCAGCTTTAATAGATGCCTTTGATTTTTCAAATGCATGTCAAACAATTCAAGGCGGCAGCAGATTTAATAGATGCCTTTGATTTTTCAAAAACATGCCAAACAGTTCAAGGCAGCAGCTTCAATTTTTCATGCATCTGAAATTAGCAGGTCCAACGGCTAGTTGATCCAAGGCCAAGAAAATTTCAGATTTTCTATATATACCCACCTCTTTGTTCATAAAATCACAATTCTTCTTTACTCACAATTCTTCCTACGTTTATTTATTATTGTTGTGCTTTTCTATTTTTTGTGATCATCAAAATGAGTGGAATTGGAGAGGGTTCAAAGAGAGCTAAATTGCCAAACTTTTCCACTGAGGAAGATGTTGCTCTATACCATGCATACCTAGCAATTAGTGAAGATCCAATTATTGGAAACTCCCAACAAGCTAATGCATTTTGGGCTGGGATTCATAAACAATTCTTTGAATTGTGCCCCTCCAATCGAACTTCTAACAGCCTCAAATGCCGATGGAATTTCATTCGGCCACGATGTCAAAAGTATTGGGAGTGTCTCGTTGAAGCGGATAGGAAAAATAAAAGTGGATCCAGTGAGCTGAATAAGGTATATCTATTTTGTTATTAATCTCTAAATGTTGTATTTTTTATTTAATAATTTTGAATTTATTTTATCATTCTATAGGTGGACCTAGCAAAAACTTTGTACCATGAGAACGGCCCTCCTTTTCGTTTGGATCATTGTTTTGCAGTTTTGAAGAATGCAATCAAGTGGTCAACCGTAGATGTTGATATGTCCCCACCGGCCACTATGTCTCCAAACCTTGATGTTAACTTAGATTCTGTTAACTTAGATTATGATGAGTAGGGTGAGAGTGTTCCAGAGACCCACTACAATAGTGAAATCCCAAGGCCAAAAAGGAGGGCAATAGGAAGGAAGGCTGCTAAAATTGCCAAACAAAAAGGCACTGCAGATAGTGAAAGCTGTGTTAAATACAACTCTGCACTCTCATCGTTCAATGCAAGACGTGAAACAATGGATGAGTATAAAGTCATGTTGGTAGAAACAAAGGATATGACTCCAAATAGAAAGGCGTATTGGAAATACCAGCAAAAAAAAATTATGAATGCATGTCAAGCTTCTCGGGTTTTAGAGTTCGATGATAATGTGTATCGTCCTGACCCCCCTCCTGGGTTTGACCAAGAATGAGTTTTATGTTTATGTTGTACGTTATGTTTATGTAGCTTTATGTTTAAGAAATAAAATGTAGTTGTTAATTGAACTTTATGTATTGAAGAAAAGTTGGAATGAAAAATTGAAAAAGGATGTAATAGGAATTTATAAATTTGGTGTTCGAGCTCTGATTGGGGTTCATGATACCTTCCCGAAAAGGGAACGACGTCACGAGTCATACTCACTACTTTGTTGTGCCATATGGTGGATTTTTGGCTTCTGAGGTCGTTTGGGCTTCCAAAACAGCATTTAAAAGTTGGATTTTAATTTTTAGGCTTTTTGTTTATTTTGTATTCTTTTTATTTATTTTCTATTCTTTTAGACAGCATGTAATAGTATTTAACAATTTTTTTTTTCCATTGCAAATTTTAAAAGCACACATATGACTGAAATGAAGATACATAATATTCTAACACTGCAAGGACATTGCTTGTTAGTTATTGAAAGCATAAAATGCATACATAACATACTACATACTAGATTCTTCATTCTCCCCCTTCCTTATCCCACAAGTGATTAATAAGATCATTTCGAAGAGCATGGTGGCAAATTTCATCTCTCATAATTCTTCGCCTACCTAAATATGCTCCAAGTGGTGCTGCATCTCGTCGCACTTCGATCTCAGGAACATCTGCAGGGTCATAATATGAAGGTGTAGGACCCATAGAAGTTGCATCATCATCATCATCATCATCATCATCATCGGAAGCATATTCATCACGCTCATCCTCCACGATCATATTATGCAAAATGATGCACGCATTCATGATTCGCTCAAGATCTTCTTGATGCCAAAAGCGAGCAGGGCCTCTAAGGATGGCAAATTGTGATTGAAGGATACCAAATGCTCGTTCCACGTCCTTGCAATACGCCTCTTGTTTCCTTGAAAAAAGTTTTTTCTTCCGACCTTGGGGTTGAGAAATTGTTTGAACAATATTTGACCATTTGGGGTATATCCCATCAGCAAGATAATATCCCTGGTTGTATTCAGCACCATTGACAATAAATTGAACATTTGGTGCACGCCCCTCAAGTACCTGCACAAATAAGGGTGACGAGTAAAGCATATTAAGGTCGTTGTGTGAACCGGGCATTCCAAAATAAGAATGCCAAATCCATTTGTCAAACGAAGCTACAGCCTCAAGAATAATAGTTGGACGACCATGGTGGCCCACATAAGCTCCATGGTGAGCAGTTGGACAATTCTTCCATTCCCAGTGCATGCAGTCCAAGCTCCCAAGCATGCCCGGAAAACCGCGCTTTTGCCCTTTTCTCAAGAGCCTTGCAAGGTCAGCCGGTGTCGGTGATCGAAGGTACTCTCTGCCATATATTGCATGGATTGTAAGACAGAATATCTTCAAAGTCTCAATAGATGTGGTTTCTACAATTCTTAGGTTCTCGTCGATTTGATCGACAGGTGTTCCATACGCAATCATACGTAAGGCAGCTGTTAACTTTTGATGGGTGGACAAACAGAGATTTCCACAAGCATCTCGTCGTTGTTGGAAGTAAGTGTCGTAGTTCATGACTTACTCTAAGATTCGGTTGAACAAGGAAGGCCTCATGCCAAATCTCCTCCGTAACTTATCTGCATTATACACAGGAGTGGCACAAAAATAATCTTTCATAAGGTGCATATGGCCAGCTTCTCGTTCTCTTGGTACATACCTCCTTCTTGATGACGACCACCATATGTTGCCTTCTCTGCATTATGTTTCTGTGATATCTCCTATTCTATGAACATCTCCTCCATACTTTCCTTGTCAGAATCAGTGTCAAACAAGTGTTGGTTGCTCATTGTAGGGGACTTTTTCCTCCAGCAACTGCAAATGGGCTGGGCTGCTATAAAAAGGGCAGACTGATGAAATTGTCCCCTTTGCCTAAGTTCGAAAATTAAGCCCCAAAATACCTCGAAAGAGCAGTAGAGCCTTATGAAGTATTTTGGTTACCTTCACCAACCAAAATAATGGCAGCTTACAGATAATTTATGCATGCTTACAGATAAAATTTTAAGCTTGGCATGAGAGGCATGTGGCATGGGAGTAAAAGCAACATGAGTTTAGCACTAAGAGGAAATTTAGGCTTTCTTAGAGGGAAAAAGGGAAGTGTTAAGGTGAGAAAAGAGAGATTTTGTAGGAGATTTGGCTAGGAAGAGAGAAATGAAGAACAATGCGCTGGAAATCACCATTCTTTAAGAAACCCTAATGGCTTCTACTTATTTTGGCTAAGCTTTTTCCTCATTTCTCCTCCTCTTCTCTGACTTCCCTATCTTGGCAAAAATTACCTCTGTTTATTTGCTCGAATTCAGGAGATTTGGGAGCTCAATGTCCCCCTTTCCCACAGCTGTGCAGTGGGAGTTTCCCTTTTTGGTTACTGTTTTTTCTTCTTTCCCTCCCCCTGCCTTGGCTAAATCTGATGAAGGAAAGGAATTGAAAATATATGCTGGTCCAAGGGGTGCTTTTAACAACGTGCAGGCTAGCATTCCTTGGTTCTTTGGGCGTCTTTGGTTTGGAACTTGCTCCCAGCAGCTTTGCTTGCTGAGTCTGCCAACCTCTCCTTCACGTGTTTTCTGTTTTTCAAAAGAACTGAAGCTTTTGTGGGCTGTTTTAGGATTTTATAAGGGCCAAGGTGGTTTCCAAAGCAAATGATCTATTTTGTTAAATATTGGGCTTTTGAGTCAATAGGCTATTTGGGGCTATTTGGGTTATTTCTTTTCCTCTTGTGCTCACCCACATGTTTGGGCCTAAGAAATTGGCTTGAGTCTCGAAGCTCCCAAGTAACCCGAGACTTTCCATTTCTCGGCCCATCAATGGGCCTCATGTTGATTTATTACTATCCATACCACAACCCACTCAAAAGGAAGCGCCGGGCATTCGAGTGGCTTGGGCCCACTTAGGCTTGTAGCGTGATTGGGTGTGTAATAATGATTTCCTGCTTGGCATGACATGGCATATCGCTTGGCATGCTTTTTATTATGTTTGATGGGATAATTAGCATGGATTTGTAGGGCCGATATATTCTAGTATGACGAATTATTTATTTAGCATGGCATATGGATTGCAACTCGCATGTGGTGGGTTTTTGTGTATTCCGCTTTACGCCTTTCCTTGATAGAGTGTCATTTTGGGCCGATAATTTATTTGGGCCCGACCGTGGATTTTTTGGGCCTCAACACTCATTTTATTGTTGGGGGGAGAACAGGAAGAAGAAAGAACAGGAGATAAGATGGATGCTCTTGAAGTGAAGGTAGAGATAGGTTAGATAAAGTGAAGAGATAGGTTTGATGAAGTGAACATATTTATAGGAAATCAATGATATCTGATGGGAGAATCAAAGGGATGAGATGAAGAAAAGAGAATCTTATCCAAGGGTTGAGATGAAGATAAGAGAATCCGATCCAACGGTTATTTTTGGATGAAATCATTTTTTCTCCGAATTTAAATATTTTTAGGTCTATTTGTTTGAAAAAATAAAATTAACCTAATACAAAAAAAAAAAAAAATTATAAAGTAAACACAAAATACAAATTTAACACAAAAACGAATTAAGACAAACAAAGCAATTATACATCTTAAATTTACATCTCTCCTCATTGGAGCAAAAAACATATTTACACCCCCCCGGAGGTGTAAAGGGGATGTAAAAATGGTTTTACACCCTCGAATTTACACCCCCCCACTGTGGATACTCTAACAAATCCATGTGTAAAAAACTTAGTAGAATGCATAGAAACATTGCTTAATAGAATGCAATTGCATTTTTCCTTTGCAATTCATAACTTGTGTCATTGTAATTGCATTTTATGTACATTATTGCAAATGTGGTCCATATGCTATTGTAACTGATTTTATACATTTTATTCCTAGAAATCCATGCTTTATATGTTTATCATGAAATAAAAAAGAAACTATATATTTGGATAAGTTTATTTTCAAAAAGAAACATTTCAATTAATTAAGGATAAAATAAATATAAGTTATAACAAATGGAAAGTATTAGATCATACGGATTGACATAAATAAAGTTACAAAGCATTAGATTTTCACATATTAACTTTTATTGTTAATAATTATTTTATTGTTAAATTAGGTCTCACTTTTAAATAATGATGGGAAATTTGTCTCCTATTTGGCAATTGCCTTTGATACAAACAAACAAAAAATAAAGAAAAAATAAATAAAGAAGGTATGCTTTACCATCAATTGCCGAATCGATACTCATCAATTGCCAAATTGATACCCATCAATTGCCTATTTTGCTTTCACTCAAACCTGTCAAGTTGGCAATCGACAAACAGACAACACGTAATTACCATTCCAATTTGTGCAAACCAACTACCTGATTGTCAATTGTGAAACTCATGGTTTTACAAGATTATGAATAAACTTTACAAGGTTTGGGAATGTTCATGTTCCAAACGCTGTAGTATGGGTCTGTAATGTTGTGAACCGTTGTTTTTACAAGAATAAGGAGAAATTTTACTTGTTCAAGGCCCAACAATTCATGAATATTGTAATTGAGATTCTTTTTATTGTAAATTAGGCTATTACAATATTATCGATCGAAGTGAACCTTAGCATCGTAATAACGATGCCAAAGCTCATAAATTTGAATTCGAATATTGTAATCTACAATATTAGGGATAAACTTTACAATGTTATGGAATATTGATGTGCCCAACACTGTAATATGAGTCATTGATGTTGTAAACCCATGTTTTTACAAGATTAGAGATAAACTTTACAATATTATGGAACGCTTAAGTCCTAGACACTATAACCTAAGTGCTTAATGTTGTAAGCCTTTGTTTTTGCAAGATTAGAGATAATATTCATGATATATGAATATTTATATATATATTTTATGATATTTTCTATTGATTTTGCATGATTAGAATGGTTAGATGCAATGAATTCCATTGTTTTTTTTTTTTTTTTAATCTTTACTTATTTAATTATGAAGATACATGGAAAATGAGAATAATCAAATGGGAGAGGTCGTTTGGCAATTGTCAAACAGGTAGTATGAATTTGCAACATGGAATGGCAATTACACATTGTTTGTTTGTCATTTCCATTGTCCAATTCAAAATTTTCATGTATTACCACACACCAAACCATAAATGTGCAGTATATTTATGTTTAATCATTTAGGTACTTGAATTTTAAGTAACTACTTCTAGTTAGTATCATTAATATTCTTGGCGATTTGAGTAACTGAGAACCAGGGAGCACGTAATGGAAAACCAGGGAGCATCCAATTGCATACAAATATGCAACTGCATTTTAAGTACAATCTTATAACTTACAAGTTTTAGGGATCCCGTTTACTATGTTATGGTATTATTATATTCAAAACATTGTAACATCGGTCCTGACTCTTGTAAACTTTTGTGGTTACTAGAATAAGGGCCACTTTTTATATCACAAAAATCCAACCTTATCAATTCTTTGTAACATAGATCCATATTCTTGCAAAATAAGGATTTACAATTTTATGGATTTGGTGAACCCTAATGTTGTAATCATGGTTCAAAAACTTGTAAATCACTAACCAAATCTTGTAACTTATAAGTTTTAGAATCCTCTTACAATTTTATGGTACCCTCATATCCAAACTATTATAATACCAATCCTTAATTTTGTAAACCCTTGTGTTTACTAGAATAAAGAGCCCATTTTACATCCTTAAGGTCCACACTTATCAATTCCTTGTAATGTAGATGTCCTTATAAAATGGGGATTTACATGGGAACCTAGGGGATTGGTAACTTTCTTCTCCTTCATTACCGTATATAAATTAGTATTTTAGTTGAAATTATACATATTATATGTAAATACTATATTTATGAGTGGATATTCTTATTAAACAATTTTTTTATGGATAGGAAAGGGGAAACCTATATAACAAGGATATGAACCAAAAATCAGAGGAGGATCATAAGGGAAATTTTTGTGGGAACATGAATATGAAGATGACAATGTATTAAATTATTTGTTTAGGCATAGAAATAAGTTTGTAAAAGCATATTTTGAATATGCTATGAGTTATATTCAAGAAATAATATATAGTTTTAGTTTTAAGACATTTGTTTAAAATTATTTTGGAATTAGCTTGAATTCTAAAGTTTCGTACATGAGAAGCGAATGAGATGGTAACTTAATCACTTTCTTCCCCTTCATTACCTCATTTAGTATTTTGTTATGTTACATACTCATATAAAATTTCTAGTATTTTAGTTGAAATTGTATGTATTATATGTAAATATCATATTTATGTATTATATATTGATTATAAAGTGCAATATATATTATTTAAGTATTATATTATTAGATATTCTTATTTAACATTTTTTTATTGATCGGAACGTGTACCAATTATATTACGAGGATGTGAACAAAAAACCAGAGAAGGATCATAAGGGAAATTTTTGTTGGAAGATGCTACGAGTCATCTTCAAAAAATAATATATATTTTTTGTTATAAGGCATTTGTTTAAAGTTATTTTTAGAATAAGCACAAATAC